ACACACACACACACACACACACACACACACACACACACACACACATAGGGATGGGTACCATATTCGATACTTTTTGATGCACAGACCGAATTCTTTCAGTACTACCGAGTATCTATTCACATAACACCAAACGGTACCATGTTTCGGTACCTAAACGCATCATTGCGACCGGTTTGGCGTAAGAGTGGCGAGTTTTCCATGCTTGTCCTGAATGCAGCATCACGCAAAAGCATGATGACGTCAGCAGCAGCTGGTTCAGTAAACAGAGCTCAGTCTGAACGTAGCTTGAAAGCCTCGCAGCTCCTGGAGTAAAACTCACCAAACACACCGCCTCTGAATTATCTGCTGGATTAATTATCTTGTGAGCACGACCTTTGCTTGCTCAAAGTAAATAAAGTACCACCACTTTCTTTATTTCATCCACTGTTGAACAGAAACTGACAGAGGAAAACAACAGAGACACTTCCCGACAGTCAGAACACGTCAAGCAGCCAACAAGTGTTGGACGTGTTTTGGATGCTCAAAACTTAGCTTGAATACTTTTTATTTATTTTAACTCCATCCTCTTTTGTTTATTTGATTTAAATGTATTTGCCTTCCATGGACCTCCATCACACAATGTTTCTAGCGGGGAAATGACATCAATAAAAATACATCAAGCTGGATTTTAATTTGTGCAATAAGACAAAACAGTCTTGTTGTTTTCAAGAGTTTTCACTTTAAAGAAATAAGTTACACAACTGATGTTACAATACAAAGAGATGGATGTTGTCTTGATTTTTGTTAATTTTATATGTTGAGAAACATGTTAAATAAAAAAAAATAAAGTTTACTATTGAAAAAACTACACACACACAAAGTACTGAAAATTGGTACCGTTAAGTACTGGTATCAATTCCCAGGTACCGGATATTGGTACCGAATCGATTCAAACGTCAAAGGTACACATCCCTACAGACACACACACACGTTCAACAAGTCGTATTGTCTCTGACTCACTGTATCTTACTCTTCCAGGTTGCGGTGTGTGTGGTCTGTTATGGCATATCAGAGACTGTATTTGGGGAGTGGAGCGTTATGGGCAGCACCATCATCCTGGTCCACTCTTACTATAACGTCTGGCTCAGAGCCCAGCTGGGCTGGCAGAGCTTCCTGCTCAGGAGAGACGCTGTGAACAAGATCAAAAGCCTCCCGACTGCAACGAACACACAACTGGAGCAGTACAACGACATCTGTGCAATCTGTTTCCAGGTATGCAGCATCCTGTGTTGTTAATGCTGAAGAGATGAGGAGCTGAGGCTTATAATTCTGTTGGTTCTTTGCAGGACATGAACAGTGCTGTGATCACGCCGTGCAGTCATTTCTTCCACGCTGGCTGTCTGAAGAAATGGTTGTACGTCCAGGAAACGTGTCCTCTTTGCCACGCTCAACTCAAGAGCCAATCRCCAACCAGTGTGTCCAACCAAGATGTCCCTGAAGGCGATCAGCGTCCTGCAGGACAGGAAGCTGCCTCAGCAGACAACAAGGACAARGATGGGACTCTTACAGAGAATGTGACAGAGCAACAGGAAGATGTTTCTGCTTCATCAGCTGCAGGAACCTCCTCCTCCTCCTCCCCATCTTCATCTTCCTCCTCCTCTGTTTCACTTCAAACCAGTGATCCCTCCTCGGTGTCCCCCTCCACTTCCAGCACATCTGACGCTCCACCTCCCCCACTCTGTCCCCACTCGTCCCCACAGGCCCACACTGAGCCCGAGTATCCAGGCCCAGTGGAAAGCCAGGAGTCCTCCGCTGATCCACCGTCACACTCTCACCAGCAGAGCTGCTTCTGAGGAAGACTTGTTTCCACACATGCATGCTCCAACACGTAATCCAAACCTCTGCTTGTGTTTCATCTGTCCAGATTTCAGTTCTCCTCCTCCAGATCCCTTCTGAGAGGAAGACAGAAACAATTTATCTGAAGCGGATATCTAAATGTACCCCAGTTCAGCTTTTATCATAGGCACAACTTTTTTCATACATTTTCTATCTTTTTTTATTTTTATTTCTTTTTATGTCACTCAGCGGGGGATATTCATTGGTCTCATCTCAGAAATTATTAATGGTTTTCCATCATATCCATAAAATGTGAAATCTTACAAACCAACATTATCACAGAGTTTTCAGGTTTACTGTATTTGAGTTTACTTTTTTTAGTATTATTTCTGTATCCATGCCCCCTACTGGTAAAACCCTTTTTTTTTTTTGTTTCTTTGCTGTACATTTAGTGCCATGACAAACGGATTATACATGGAGACCACTAGGACAGACAATGGAAGACGCGTGGTTGCATTCAAACTGTGACAAAGTCTTAACATTTCAACAGAAAAACACAGTTTGACCCATATTTCTGTGTTGAGCTGCTGGGGTCGTAGTACTTCTGTGTATTTGTGAATACCAAGCATACTGAATGTTGTCATTTCGAGGCCGATGGTCGTGGTCTCTTCAGCGGACTCGCAGACAATGACTAATTTTGTACGTTGAGATATTTTGCTGTCACTGCTTCAGTGTTTGAATCAAACTTGTTTGGCTGGTCCCAGCAAAAGGCAAATATTATTCCTCACCGCCAAAGTTTTAAATCGCTGTTACAAGTTCAGTTTCACACCCCTTCGTTGAACGCCACGCAGTGCAGGTGGTCAACGAGGGGGGCGGGGTTATTGGCTGCACGTTTTGAACCCTCATTAAGAATGGAATGTAAATAAGTTCATCACCTTTTTAGTGTTACAGCTTCTCATCACAGGAGCCAAAAAGAAGCACTTGCTTTCTTCAAATCTAACATCGTTTGTTCTCCTGCAGCTTGAACGATTCACTCCATGAGATGTTTCTACCAGCAAATCATTTCCCCTTTTTATGTCCACACACTCCTAAGTTGTGTGTTTTGCAGATAATGCAGTACGGTGGGTAAATGTTCAGGTGAAAGAGTAAAATCAGAGAAATGCTGAATTATAAGTAGAGCTTGCATCCTTTCCACAGAATGTTTTTTTTTTTTTAATTTGGTCTGTGTTCTCTAACTTTGCAACTGATTTTTGTTTCTTGTTTTCCTATGATTTTTGTTGTACTTGCACTAACGTCATTTTTACTAGCAATGCTCCAAAGGTGTTCTGTGGCTGTCTGCAACCAAATACCCTCTGATGTTTGTGTAAGAGGAAACAGCCCGAACAGTTTGTGTGTAAATGTGTAGAAATGTTTCTCTGTACGACTATTATATTCAACAAGAGGAGAGCTGATCYGATGCGGTCAGAGTTGGATTTTTGTTTCGTTTTCTGAGCTGCAGAGACCCAAACGCTCTGAGCTGAGATCAGTTCCCGCCTCTCCAGTCTGTATGAAGCATCTATAAGCTGGTGTGATCACTCCGGTGCCCTCTACTGTTAGGAGTGGGATCAGCTTGGTACTGATGGACTGGAGATGAGCAGAAACCCTCACCAGTATTATTTACCATTTATTCTGAATTGTTATATGTTTTGGAAAGCAAAGGCTCCAGGGTTGAAAATGAATACATGTTCAATGTATGATCAAACCTGTCCAATGCTGTTTAAGTTTGTTTTTGTTTGTTTTTTTTAAGGACTGAGATGTAGAGTCTGATGTATTTTGCACATCTTTCTCTGAAAGTTGACTTATTTTTGTCATCTCCATTTCGTTTTGATTTTGGTTTCAAACGAAGCACCTAAATGTATTCAGAGGTCGACATTTAAATTGTGTTCATTCATTTCTGAGCGGTTTTCCTGTTCTGCAGAGAGAGAACCTGCAACCTGTGTGAAGGCAGCTGTACGTGGATCTGCACTGCAGTATTAAATGATAWATAACTGGCACAGGTGCTTGTCAGCTGCTGATTCTGTCTGGATTTACAGGAAGTTGAACTCTTTTAGCCTCCACCAATGTTTGAAACGGCAATTATTTACATAAATCATCTCTGATAGCTGTTAATACTTATTTCTTAAACAGTATTTCAGTTCATTRTTTCAAATATATTTGAGAATTTGGCTTCAGATTTTGTAAATTGGTGATTATTTACTGTTTATTTCAGTTTATTTGCCAGCAAATGCATGTAACTATCATTGTGACATCGTAATGCCACATTTTTATTTTTAACTATCGCATTGTTGTGGGCCAAAAATACATTCTCTCAAAGCTCTAACTTTAAGACAGCTAGATTATATATATATAAAATATCGACAGGAAGTCCTTACGTTTAAATTTATTAACTGTCATTTGAAATTAAAGTATTTTTTTAATCCAGCTGCTACAAGCAGTGTTTACAGATTTACTGACTGCATTTCCAGCACAGCTGCCTGTAACAGATRTATAAAGAATGATGATTTTCACCTTTTTTTTTTCCTTTTTTAAGATAAATTTTGTGTGCAGTTAAATCTAAACACACAGATGTGAAACCTGCTCTGAATGCCAGCGGTGTTGGATTAAAATGTCCTCCAGTGGTTTTGGACGAGATGCCTGGCATTAACTTGTTTGTTTTATAAAACTGAATGTCAAATAAAATCAAACATCCATTCTGGGGAATCTTATCTGACTGGATTCAATTGTTTAAACATGTGGAGTACAGTACGCACGATTGGTCAGAGAAAATAAAAGGGTACACGGTGAAGTAAAATACAGCGGGTAAAATAAGTATTGAACACATCAACATTTTTCTCAGTAAATATATTACTAGAGGTGCTAATGACATGAAATTTCCACC